TATTAGGGTGCACAATATTTCGGGGAACACAATACCACCAAAAAGTCAGAACAGAAATAAATGAAATAGAAACAAAGAAAACAATACAAAGAAGCAACCAACATAAGAACTGACTCTTTGAGGAGATAAATAAAGACAGACACTTGGTTCAAGTAGCCCAAACAATGAAATGGAGGAGTCAGATTAAGAAATCAGAAATGACCAAAAAAAAAAAAAAAACAAAGAAAGAAAGAAAAAGAAATCAGAAATTACAGGGAAATATTACAACAAACACTAAGAAGCATAGACTATTGTAAGGGACTATTATAAAAAACAAAAGAAAATCTGTATTCCAGTATTCTTGAAAACCTATATGAAATTGATAAGGTTCTAGATTCGGACAAACCATTATAAAATCAAAACACCAAGTCAACAAGCTAAACAAACACATAATACACAGCAGATTGAAACAATAATAAATTCCTTCCAGCTATAAAAATATTCAGGTTCAGATGAACTCACAGCAGAATTCCACCAGACATTCAAAGAAGATATACAGTCAGACCTTCTTAAAATATTTAAAAAAATAGAAGAGAAGGATCAATTACAAGCTCCCTTTAAAAAGCCATTTTCATTCTAATACCAAAACCAGGGAATGCCACAACAAAAACAAGAAAACCACATGCCATTACTCCTGATAAACATAGACTCAATAAAATGTTTGCAAATAGAATACAGACTCACATCAAAACTATTTACACCAGGACTAAGATGGCCTTATCATTGGAATGCAGGAAAAGTTCAACATATTCAACTCAATAAGTGTAAAATCCACATAAATGGTTGTATAGACAAAAGTCACATGAACATCTCAATAGATGAAAAAAGGTGACAAAATTCAACTCCCTTTATCATAAATTTTCTAGACAACATACAGAAAGAGGGATCATGCCTCAACACAATAAAAGTAATATATAAGAAACCCATAGGCAATATCATTCTCAATGGAGAAAAGCTTAAAGCAATTCCACTGAAGTAAGAAATCAGACAACTAAGTCCACAACTCCCACTCCTTTTCAATATTGTGCTCAAAGTATTAGCTGGAGCAATAAGGCAAGATAAGTAAGTTAAAGGAATACAAATAGAGAAAGAAGTCAAACTATCCCTATTTACAGATGACATGGTATTATATACTAGAGATCCCCCCAAAATGTACCACAAAAATTCTTGAAATGATTAACAAATACAACTATGTGAAAGGATACAGAATCATCTTTCACAAATCAATGTCCTTTTTTATACACTAACAACAAACATAGGAAGGAGAGCATGGACAGACTCCCATTCACAATTCTCCTAAAGAAAATAAATTACTTAGGAATAAATTTAAACAAGGAAGCAAGCAAAGGACTTTGACAGGAGAACTTTAAACCCCTGAAAAAAACAGGAAAGACAGTAGAAAATTAAAAGACATCCCATCCTGTGATCACTGATTGGTAGAATTAAGTTTATGAAGATGAACATTCTACTGAAAGCTATTTATAAATTCAATGCAAACCCAATCAAAATCTTGATCTCATTTGTGCAGATAGAAAAAAAATAACTATACCAAAATTCTACACACCAAGTGGACCAAAATAATACTGAATAAGAAATAACTCTGATAGAAGGATGACCAATATGAATTTTATGATATATTACAGAGGCATAGTAAAAAAAAACAAAAATAACACCAAAACTTGCCAGGATCCATTCCCCGATGGTGGATGGGTCCTGAAGAGGATGGAAAAAGTCCGCATGAGAATGAAGTGAGCCAGGCCATGGTGGTCGGGAGAATCTTGCAGCCTGACTGACTAGCAGCCAGAGTGTTTCTTTATTTATTCAGAATTTAGTTATTAGGGATACATTCATGATGTTCAAAAAAAAAAGATGATATCATGTTTTTTGTTTTTGGACATATGTTTCACTTCCTTTTGCTCATCTTTTAGTCATCATTAATAAACTATGACAGAACAGAGTTATCATTTCCAGTCATTTCCCCTCAAGTTTTGACTTCATTAATAAATGGAGTAATCATTCTTACTTATAAACCCCATAATCCAATTTTTGAGAATCTAGAGGCATATGACAGCATGTGCTCAGGCTGGTTGTTTTGGTTGCTTCAAGGACATTAGACCAAAACAAAATCTTCAACCACCCTGGGCATTTTGCCATGTCCCAGGCAGTGTATTAATAACTCCTAGTGGTCAGAGTACCCAGGAAAAATCCTCAGGCTAAAGCTGCTGCAGTTATTATTCAAATTCTGGCATAATACAATCAATGTTCACATTTATATCCTTATAGAATTCATCTATATGTCTAATCCTGGCATTCTGTTATTCCTTGGTCATATGACATTATAGTGGCTCTACATGAGCTAACTTCTAAGAGAGGGAGGTCCTAAGACCTCATACTTTTATCATCTTTCCACTCCATACTTTACTTATCAATATGTCTCTATGTAGAGCAGAGTTGTGTGGTGGTATGGTGTTCCCCAAAATATTGTGTACCCTAATAAACTTATCTGGGGTCAGAGAACAGAAAAGCCACTAGATACTTAGGATAGGCAGTGGTAGCACACGCCTTTAATCCTAGCATTCCAGAGGCAGAAATCCATCTGTTCAAGGCCACATTGGAAACAGCCAGGCATGGTGACACATGCCTTTAATCCCAAGAAGTGAGCCTTTAATCTCAGGGAGTGATGGCAAAAACAGAAAGATATATAAGGCTTGAAGACCAGAAACTAGAAGCATTTGGCTGGTTAAGCTTTCAGGCTTCTAGCAGCAGTTGAGCATTCTGTATGAGGACTGAGAAGTTTGCAGTCTGAGGAAACAGGATCAGCTGAGGAACTGTCAGGGTAAGGTAGCTGTGGCTTGTTCTGTTTCTCTGATCTTCCAGTATTCACCCTAATAACTGGCCTCAGGTTTGATTTTATTAATAAGAACTTTTAAGACTCATGCTACAGAGTTGTATGCCACATAAATGTCTGAGTGTACAGTGGGAAGAGCCTTGTAATCTGAACTGTGGCCAACTCCTCTAGCCCACCAGATCTTGTTGACCTTTTTGAATTTACTTTGTTTTGAATATCTTGTTCCAGTGTAAGTACAGGGACAGATGTTTCAAGAATGTCTCATAGCCTCGTGAAGAGACCTCTGGCTTCTTCTTTATGTGTCACAACCTCCAAAGCATAAGGAAGACCTTCAAGTAGATAAGGATATCTCCCTCAAAGTGGCGGAGGGGAGATAGTATGTTCAGGACTTTTCTGGGTAAGCTTAGAAGCAGAATTCCTTGGAATAGGCATCATTGATTCATATGGAATTTTCCATCAGTCCAACATCTCCAAATTGTACAAATATTAAAAGTACCCCAAGTATGTAACAGGTAGAGATGAAAACCAAAGGTGACATGACAGCCATCATGTGGCTCAGCTCTGCTGGATCTTTGTCGAGCAGCTGTGCTGGCTTTATGACTTCTGCCATTACATTCACATATGGCTGTGCCAAAAACAACCACAAAATAATATGGCAATGGCAGAAAAATATACCTGTGGACCAATACATAAATCCAAGACCCAAATTTGAGCATATGTTAGATTAGTCAATTAATATTCAATAAAGACACTAAAAACAAGATTGAGAATTGAAAGCATCATGAAGACATGTTGTTGGAAAAACTGGAGTTCCACAAGTAGAAAAATGCAATTATGCCCATATCTAGCACTGTTGCAAATTGTAACTCCAAAGGATCAAAGACCTGAACCTGAAAACAGGAACACTGAAATTGTTAGAAGAAAATATAGGCAAAAGTCTCCATGATCCATGTTTAGGAAAAGACTTTCTGAATAGAATTCCATTTGCCCAAGAATTGAGGCTAACAACTGAAAAGTAGGAGTTCATGAAATAAAATGCCTCTTTACAACCAAAGGAACAGTCAACTAAGTGGGGATAAAGCCTGAAGAATGGGAGAGAATCTTTGCCAGGTATATATCTGACAGTAGATTGAGATCCAGAATACACAAGGAAGTGAAAAAAACAAAGTCTTAAAAAACAAATGACCTATTCTAAAAGAAATGATCCTGGGATCTGAAAAGAGATTTTCAGTTGGAAATAAAATGGCTAAGAAATAATTCAAAAAAGTCTGCCATCCTTAGCAATTATGGAAACATAAATCAAAACAACTTTAGATTTCATGTTACCACAGGTAGAATATAAAGATCCACAGAACAACCAACAAATGCTGGAGTGACACAGAGGAAAAGGAAATCGTCATTCATTTATGGTATGATTATAACTGGGGCAGCCTCTGTGGAAATCAGCATGGGGAAAAGTAATTCTGCCATATGACCCAGCAGTACCACTCCTTGTCTTATGTCCCTAGGACTCCACATCCTGCTCCACAGGTATCTGCTCTGCATGTGCGACGCGGCTTTGTTTAAAGCAGGTAGGAAATAGAAAAACATCTAAATAATCTAGAACTGACCAGTGGATAATAAAACTGTGATACAAATAGTCCATGGAAAACCATTTGAGTATAAAGAAAAATGAAATCATAAACATTGTGGATGTGTGGGTGGAACTAGAAAAGATTATATTGAGTCAAAAAATCCTGACCCACCAAGACAAATGTCACATATTCTTTCTCATCTGAGGCTCCTATCTTCAAATCTTCAGATGTGAGTACATGTCCTGGAGAAACTACAGAAGACACGAAACTGAGCAGGACCACTGCAGGAGCTGGTGAATAACAGAATGGAATAGCAGAGAACAAATGACCAGAAGGGGGACATGCAGAAGAGGGAGACTCTAATCATGGAAGTAAGAGAGAGATAACTACAGGTGAGGGAGGGAAGAGACTGAAATAACAATAAGGATGTCCAGGATAAGTGATGTAATCAAAAAGGAAAAATGGGATGAGGGAACTTTAGGGAAGAGGAAGGGAAGTAAATACAGAAGAAGGAGGAAGGTGGTAAAATATCAGTAAGGATGTCTGAAAACCACAGAATCTCATAATATTACTATAACTAGAAAAACCCTACAATACCATTAATTCTCTTTATACTGATACATATAGCTTTAATAACACTTTCTCCTCTGGGCTGATGCTCCTCCCTCCAAGAACAAGACTATAAACACAAACCCAACACCAGACATGAGAAACTTCCTTTGGAGTTGTTGTCCAGGGTTGGTGAAGTGGCTCCCAAAGCATACTGCCTATCACTGCTGACCTTGTTCATCCAGCAGAGTTGAAAAGTGAGTCCCTACTGCTGATGGCAACATGTACTTCAAAAACAGAGCCCAGAGACCCTGGAGGTAGAACTTACATGAATGCCCTTTCCCTGAGGACTGGCTTTCTTGATACCAGAAGACATCATGCAAGCTTCCAAATGATGGAGACAACCAACAGTCCTAGCCTGCTATGTCCACTAAGAGCCATATCAATGACCAGCATAGCACAAAACCCTAAGGGTGTGGTAGTGGCATGCATACCTTGACAGTATTCAACAGCTCTTTAAATAGGACTCAAGACCCACTCAACAATAAAGAAACCATTCCTATGCCTGAAACCTAATTACTCAGTGATAATAAAGTCATGATCATTACTAATTTACTAAACCATCATAATCTGTAACAACAATATGTAAATGTTTGCCCTGATTCCCACAGATAATTGTAGTCTTTACCTCCCAGCAAGAAAACTTCTCTTCACAACAGATGAGACCATTATGGACCGACCAATCAAATGCAGAGTTGTGGAGGGCATCTCCAGTGGATAAATCTCCAATACCATTCCCAAACCTAAGGCTCACAGAACACTTCAGATTAGGGTGTGCAAAGATCATAAGAAACGAAAGTTCAGGGGTTTGTCTGTGAGATTGTGTCTCCTAGTAACATCATAAGCTAAACCCATAAGTCCTACCAACATGACAACCTAGGTATGTGGAACTGACCAGAGACAACAGCAGTAGACACGCCAAAGTATTCAGGAGAATGACCACATGCCCCAACCCTACCCAAAGAACAGGATGCAACTACAAAATGTTGAGAGGGGAGAAATGGTCTTCCCCAGGGAAGAGCACATTTTGTCACTCAAAACAAAATGGTCAGCCCTAAGAACATATATGCAAGTAACATCATAAAGAACAATCCAGTTATATTAGTAATTCATATATATATATATATATATATGATTATAACCCAATCAATAAAAAAGAGGCTGTTAATGTGAACGAGAGTAATAAGGTGTATATGACACATTTCACATCAAGGAAAATGAAAGAAAAATAACACAATTACTTTATAATTTCAAAATCAAAAGAAAAGGAAACAAAAAACAAATGCTTGATGTAGCAAATGCTCTAAGAGTCAGAGTAGGTGTTAGTATAATATATAACTCTGTAGAGTAAAGGGCTAATCATGCAAACCTGATAACCTGAGTTTGAATTCTAAACACATGCCAAAGTCAAAGAAGATGCCCAAGCTCCACAAAGGTGTCCTCTGTCCTCCACATGTGAGCTGTGGCACATACATGCATGCACACATGCACACCCATATCAAAATAATCAGAAAGAGTTATTTTAATAACCTTTTCTTTCCCTGAAGACATGCATTAATGAATTAGATATTTCCAGTTATCCCACCCTTATGATGATGACAATCACAGAGCACTCTGCCAATAATTTAACCTTTGGTAACATTAGCTTTTAGAAAACTAAATTCTATTGAATTAATCTCCCCAACTCTCATTTGTTGTGATAACACATTCCATTTGTTATACAGTTGCTTAGTTTTGGTTTAATTGAATCCAGTAGATAAATAGTAGATTGTCATCATTATCAGAATTTCATATTCTACTTTCACCAATTTTTCTTTATGTTATCTTTCATTATTTAAATTGTAATATAATTACCTCATTACCTCTCTTCTCATTTTTCCTAATCTCTCTCCTGGACTCAACATAGTCTTATTTTCTGTTAAATTTATTCCTCTTTTTCATTAATTGTTGATTTGTGTGTGTGCATGAATGCATGTATTCCTAAATACCACATGTTATGTCTATATAATATTAGCTGTATATATGATCTCAGGGCTGACCATCATCCTAGACAAAGGTCAACAGCTGTACCTTCCTTTACAAACACTTGTTTTGCATACTATGTTTAATATTCCAAATGACAATTCTAAATGTTGTAAACTTAATTCTTTATAAGGTACATTTAGGAAACAGCCCCATATGCACTTTTCTAGGACTTATTTTCAGGAAAGAATCATTGCATTCATTTATTCAAGGAATACACATGCATCCTGGACACTTGCACACCTCATATTGCCTGGCAGTACATAGCATGGATCACTGCAAGAGCTGAGATGAAACTACCATGGAATGAAAGGCAGTTTGGGGAAGTAGGGATGCAGATGACACAATAACATGAAGACTGCCACTCAAATGTTCACACATTGTGTGGCATCAGCAGTGATTACTAATGAACATGGGGATGAGTGGGAAAGATATGGAGAACGGTGCTGCATCACAACACCATGATCATGTGTTAGTTTTCTCCTTGTACATTCACAAGCAGATTGAGGAAAATATTAATTCTCTACCTGTCTGGTTGGAAATGTAACTCTCTGGACAAAGCATACAAGAAAAACAGCAGATCGGTCTTTCGTCTTCTTGAATTTTCCAGAAACCTGGACCACAGCTCTGTGTACATACAGATTGAGGAGTCTGAGGGCAACACAGAAAAAAAAAAGATCATAATTTTGTACATCAGTCACAGCCTTAAAATATTTTTAAGCTAAACTACCTAAACTGCAAGCAGACTCTGAAAATTGTACATATTTATGAGGCACTGTGATGTCTCCATATGGTAAGGTAGAATGTAGAGTTGAAGTTATCACACTTCCCGATGCTGAAAGTTCAAAATTTCATTATGGTGTCCCAACTGTGACTAACTTCTGCTGGCTTTTGTGAATTGTGTAGGACATCTATATATTCTCTCCTGTGAGGCAGAAAGCCAGAAATCCTTCCTTGTATGAATTATGGGACAGCTGAGTTGTCAGACATAAACCCAGACACATTTCTCTATCCATTTCTACCTTTACCTTCCCAGCTTGTAGTCACAACCATTCAGTCTGATTCACATTTCCCATGAAAGAGGGTGGATGGCCATAGCTTCTCCCGACACCATCATATGTTGATAGTCTATAGATCTGAATTATGATCCATTACTGTGACTTTTATCCTTGACTCTCCATATTCATAATAGTGCTATGTTTTTTGTTCCAAACATTAGTGACATCATCACTTAGAATTTTCATCCATTGCCTTCTTAGTTAATCACTTAATAAGTATACTTCTGAGAGTCTACCAGTGCAGATTAGACTAAGAGGTGAGTCTGTTCTCATAATTGATCACCCCAGCCTCCAGGCTTTGGGCCCAAGGGCACATCCCTATGCCCCCACACCACCCATTGCAGTCCCAGTTTGAGGCCAGCAGGCAGGTCTCTTGCAGGCAAGTCAGGCTACCACCATCCCCACTGGACCCTGTAAGTAAAAGCCCCGCCCTACCTCCTAAACCCATTCTCCCTTTGAAACCACAGCTGCTTCCTGAGACACAGAGTCCATCAGCACTGACTGGACCAAGAGCTCCAATTAGACCAAGAGTTCCCATTGGACCAAGAGTATGAATCGAACTGAGAGGCTCCCTCAGACACAGACACCACTTTCACTGAGAAGAGGAAGAGATGAGTAGACACCAGTGCAAATATACAGTCAACAATATAAAGACCAATATGGCAACACCCTAACCTAGTGGTTCTTACATCAGTAAGACCTGAACATCCCAATGCAAAAGAAGCAGAATAAATTGATCTTTAAAATGATTTTAAGAAGATGATAGAGGTCTTTAAAGAGGAAATGAAAATTCCCTTAAAGAAATTGAGGAAAGATAAACAAAAAATTGGAAGAAATCAATATATCCCTTTAAAAAAAACCAAAAACAAGCAATTAAACAGGTGAAGGAAACATTTCAAGATTTGAAAACTGAAATAGAGGCAATAAAGAAGACACAAACTGAGGGAAGGCTGGAAATAGAAAATCTGAGTAAATGAACAGGAAACAAAGATGCAAGCATAAACAACAGAATGAAAGAGATGGAAGAGAGAATCTCTGGCGCTAAATATACGATAGAGGAAATAGATTCCTCAGTCAAAGAAAACAGTAAAGCCAACAAAGTCATAACACAAAACAACCAGAAATCTGGGACATCATGAAAAGACAAAACCTAAGAATAATAGGGATAGAATAAGAAGAAGAATACCAACTCAAAGGCACAGAAAATACATTCAACATAATCATGAAAGAAAATTTTCCCTTCATAAAGAAGGAAATACCTATGAAGATACAAGAAGCTTATAGAACACCAAATAGACTATACCCCCCAAAAAGTCCCCTCAACACATAATAATTAAACCACTAAACATACAGAATGAAGAAAGAATATTAAGAGAAGCAAAGGGAAAAGACCAAGTGACTTATAAAGGCAGACACATCAGAATACCACTCGACTTCTCAATGGAGAATTTGAAAGCCAGAAGGTACTGGGCAGATGGAATACAGACACAAAAAACCATGGACGACAACCTAGACTGGTATACCCAGCAAACTTTCAATCACCATAGATAGAGTGAACAAGGCATTTCAATACAAAACCAGATTTAAACATTACCTATCCACAAATCCAGCTCTACAGAAAGCACTAGTAGGAAAATTCCAACCTAAGGAAGTCAGTTTCTATTGTGTGGAACAATTTGAAGAGTATTGGAATTACTTCTTCTTTGAAAATCTGGTAGAATTCTGCACTGAAGCCAACCCCACAACTGACAGAGGACTGTTCTCCACAGTATATAAAGAACTCAGAAAACTAGACATAAAAATACTGAACAATCCAATTAAAAATGGGCTAAAAAGCTAAACAGAGAATTCACAAAAGAAGAATCTCAAATGGCTGAAAGACATTTAAATAAATGCTCAACATCCTTAATCATCAGAGAAATGCAAATCAAAACGACTCTGAGATACCACCTTAAACCTGTCAGAATGGCTATGATCAAAAACACTAATGACAGTCAATGTTGTAGAGGATGTGGAGCAAAGGGAACACTCTTCCACTGTTGATGGGAATGCAAACTTGTACAGCCACTGTGGAAATCAGTATGGCAGTTTCTCAGAAAACTGGGACTCTAACTACCTCAAGACCCAGCCATATCACTGTTGGGTATATACCCAAGGAATGCTCAATCATACCACAAACATACATGCTCAACAATGTTCATAGCAGCACTATTTGTAATAGCCAGAACCTTGAAACAACCTAGATGCCTCTCAACTGAAGAATGGATTAAGAAAATGTGGTACATATACACAGTGGAGTACTACTCAGAAGACAAAAACAATGAAGAATGAAATTTGCAGGCAAATGGATAGAACTAGAAATAATCATCCTGAGTGAGGTAACCGAAACCCAGAAGGACAAACATGGTAAGTATTCATTCATACGTGGATTCTAGATATAAAGCAAAGAACAATCAGACTACAACCCACAGAACCATGGAGGCTATATAGCAGGGGGACCCTAGAATGACTGTGGCTTATAATAAGTTTTGGTTTTGCTCAATTACTGAGCAAATCTCAATTAAACATTTCACTATTAAAATAAGAATTTATACTGTATCAAGCTGATAATAAAAAAATAAATAAATAAATTTTAAAAAAAAGAAAAACTAAATTTAAAAAAAGAAAGTCAGATACACTCACAAAAACACAGGCAATAGATAATCCCGCAGCAGTAAATCCCAAAGAAGAGAAACACACACACACACACACACACACACACACACACACACACACACACTTCCACCAAAAGATAACAATCACTGGTCATTAATATCCATCAATGCCAATTAATTTAATTTACCTATAAAAACACACAGGCTAACAGAATGGATACAAAATCAGGAACCATCCTTCTGCTGCATATAAGAAACGCACCTCAACTTAAAAAAAAAGACACTACCTCAGAATAAAAGGCTGGGAAAAGACTTTCCAATCAAATGGATATAAGAAGCAAGCTGGTGTAGCTATCCTAGTATCTATAAAATAGACTTCAAACTAAAATTAATCAAAAGAGATCAGGAAGGACATTACATATTCATCACAGGAAAAATCCCACAAGATGAAAATCCCAATTCTGAATATTTATGGCCCCAAATACAAGAGCATCCACATATGTAAAAGAAACATTTCTAAAGTTTAAATCACACATCAAACCCCACACACTAATAGTGGGAGATGGCAACACCCCACTATCACCAATGTACAGGTCTGCCAGACAGAAACATAACAGAAAAATAAGGGAACTAACAGATATTATAACTCAAGTGGACTTAATAGAACTCTATAGAACATTCCACCCTAACAACAAAGAATATACCTCCTTCTCAGCACCCCATGGAACCTTCTCTAAAACTGGCAACATGCTTGGTCACAAAGCAAATCTCAACAGATACAAAACAATTGGAATAACCTTCTGTGTTTTATCAGACCACTGTGGATTAAAGTTAGATTTCAACAACAACAGAAATTACATAAAGTCTAAAATTTTATGGAAACTGAATAATGCCCAACTGAATCACCACTGGGTCAAGGAAGAAATAAAGAAAGACATTAAAGACTTTCTAGAATTCAATGAAAATGAATGTACAACATACCCAAACTTCTGGACACTACGAAAGCTGTGTTAAGAGGAAAATTCATCACACTAAATGCCCACATAAAGAAGATGGAGAAATGTCATACTAGTGACTTAACAGCACACCTGAAAGCTCTAGAGCAAAAAGAAGCAAACTCACCAAGGAGGAATAGATGCCAGGACATAATCAAATTGAGGGCTGAAATCAATAAAATAGAAACAAAGAGAACAATAAAAGGAATCAATGAAAACAAAGAGTTGGGTCTTTGAGAAAATCAACAAGATAGATAAGCTCTTATCCAGACTAACCAAAAGGCAGAGAGAGAGAGAGAGCATCCAAATTTACAAAATCAAACAGGAAAAGGGAGACATAGCAACAGATAATGAGGAAACCCAGAGAATCATGATGACATACTTCAAAAACCTGTATTCCACAAAATTGGAAAAATCTAAAAGAAATGGATGATTTTCTGGATAGGAACCACATACCAAAGTTAAATCAAGATCAGACAAACAATTTAAATACATCTGTAACTCATAAGGATATAGAAACAGTCATTAAAAGTCTCCCAATCTGGCCAGGTGTGGTGGAACATGCCTTTAGTACCAGCACTTGGAAGGCAGAGGCTAACAGATATCTGTGAGTTAGAGGCCAGCCTGGACTAGAGAGCAAGTTCCAGGACAAGCTCCAAAGCTACACAGAGAAATCCTGTCTAAAAAAAAGTCTCCCAACCAAAAAAAAGCACAGAACCCAATGGTTTCAGCAGATAATTCTACCAGATTTTCAAAGAAGAGCGAATACCAACACTCTTCAAATTGTTCCACAAAATAGAAACAGAGGGAATATTACCAAACTCCTTTTATGAGGCTACAGTTAGCCTGAGACCCAAACCACACAAAGATGCAACAAAGAAAGGGAATTACAGACCAATCTCCCTCATGAACATTGATGAAAAATATTCAATAAAATGTTGGCAAACTGAATCCAAGAACACATCAAAAAAGTTATCCACCATGACCAAGTAGTCTCTATCCCATGGATGCAAGGATAGTTCAACATATAAAAATCTGTCAATGTAATTCATCATATAAACAAACTGAAAGAAAAAAACATGATCATCTCATTAGATGCTAAAAAATCCTTCTATAAAATCCAACACCTATTCATGATAAAGGTCCTGGAGAGATCAGAAATACAAGGAACATACCTAAACATAATAAAGGCAATTTACAGTGTGTTAACAGCCAACATCAAATTAAATGGAGAGAAACACAAAGCAATTCCACTAAAATCAGGAATAAGACAAAGCTGTCCACTTTCTCCATATCTATTCAAGATAGTACTCAAAGTTCTAGCTATAGTAACAGGACAAAAGGAGACCAAGGGGATACAAATTTGAAAGAAGTCAAACTTTTGCTACTTGCAGATGATATGATAGTATACATAAGTGACCCCAAAGATTCTACCAGGGTACTCCTACATCTGATAAACTCCTTCAGTAATGTGGCAAGATACAAGATTAACTCAAAAAAATCAGGAGCCCTCCTATATACAAATGATAAGTGGGCTGAGAAAGAAATCAGATAACATCACCCTTTACAATAGCCACAGATAATATAAAATACCTTGAGGTAACTCTAACTGAGCAAGTGAAAGACCTATATGATAAGAACTTTAAATTTCTGAAAAAGAGAAATTGAAGAAGACAACAGAAAATGGAAAGATCTCCCATGCTCATGGATAGGCAGGACCAACATAGTAAAAATGACAACCTTACCAAAAGCAATCTACAGATTCAATGGAATACCCATCAAAATCTCAACACAATTCTTCACAGACTTGAAAGAACAATATTCAATTTCATATGGAAAAACAAAAAACCCAGGATAGCAAAAAGAATCCTGTACAATAAAGCAATCCCTGGAGGCATCAGCATCCATGACTTCAAGCTTTACTATAGAGCTATAGTATAAAAAAAAAAAACAGCTTGGTACTAGCATAAAAACTGACATTTAGACCAATGGAATCAAATTGAAGACACTGACATTAACACACACATCTATGAACACCTGATTTTTGACAAAGAAATCAAAACTGTACAATGGAAAAAAGAAAGCATCTTCAACAAATGGTGTGGAGTAACTGGATGTCAACATGTAGAAAAATGCAAATAGATTCATATCTGTCACCATGCACAAAACTCAATTCCAAATGGATGAAAGCCCTCAACACAAATCCAGTTACACTGAATTTGATAGAAGAAAAAGTAGGACCTAGTTGTAGTTGAAAGTTTTCCTGTATCCTGGCTAGCCAGCTATAGGGACAAATCTCTCCCACTCATGTACCCAAGTAAATATACAGAGGCTGATATTAATTATAACTGCTTATAAAAGCTCAGGCTTATTACTGACTAGCTCTTACACTTAAATTAACCCATAATTCTTATTTATGTTTAACCATGTGGCTTGGTACCTTTTCTCAAGTTCTTCCTTGTCATCTTGCTTCCTCTGTATGTGGCTGGCAACTCCTGACTCAGCCTTTCCTCTTCCCAGAATTCTCCTCATCTACTCACTCTGCCTATACTTTCTGCCTGGCTACTGGCCAATCAGCATTTTATTAAACCAATGTACAAGGGCATTATCCCACAAGAAGTAGTCTTGAAGGCACTGGCATGGGAGACCACTTCCTAAATATAACACCAGTAGCACAGACACTGAGAGCAACAATTAATAAATAGGACCGCCTGACACTGAAATGCTTTTGTAGGGCAAAGGATAAGGTCATTAAGACAAAACAACACCCTACATAATGGGAAAAGATCTTGACCAGATCCACATCTGACAGAGGTCTGATATCCAAAGTATATAAAGAATCAAGAGACTAGACATCAAAATACCAAACAATTCAATTAAATATTGGAGTACAAAACTAAACAAAGGATTCTCATCAGAAGTATCTCAAGTGGCTAAAAGACATCTAAGAAATTGCTCAACATCCTCAGTCATGAGGGAAATGCAAATTAAAACAACTCTGAGATACCATCTTACACCTGTCAGAGTGGCTATGATCAAAAACACTAATAATAGTTTATGTTGGAGAGGATGTGGAGCAAAGGGAACACTCCTCCACTGTTGGTGGGAATGCAAACTTGTACAACTACTGTGGAAATCAGTATGACTGTTTCTCAGAAAATTGGGAATCAATCTATCTCAAGACCCAGATATACCACTCTTGGGCATGTACCCAAGGAATTTCAGTCATACCACAAAGACACATGCTCAACTATGTTCATTGCAGCATTATTCATAACAGCCAGAACCTAGAAACAACCTAGATGCCCCTCAGCTGAAGAATGGATAAATAAAAGGTGGTACATACACACAATGGAGTACTACTCAGCAGTAAAAATCAATGACAACATGGAATTTTCAGGCAAATGGATATAACTAGAAAATAACACCCTGAGTGAGGTAACCCAGACTCAGAAGGGCAAACCTGGTATGTACTTGATTATAAGTGGACACTAGTTGTAAAGCAAAGGATAACGAGACTATAAACCACAGCTCCAAAGAAGCTAGCTAATAAGAAGGACACAAAGAGGAATGAATGGATCACCCTGTGAAGGAGAAATAGATGAGATCTCCATGAACAAACTAGGGGGGGGGGGGCTTCACCAAGTAACTGATGAACACAGGTGCAGAGATTCACAGCCAAGAACCAGGCAAAGCTCTAGGAGTCCAGTTGATAAGAGAAAAGAGGGATTCTACGAGCAAGAGGCATCAAGATCACCACAGGAAAACATACAGAGACAACCAAACTAAACTAGTGGGAACTCATGAACTGTGGACTAATAGCTGTGGAGCCCCCATGGACCACACTAGGCCTTCTGCAAAGGAGAGATAGTTGAATAGGTTGAACTGTTTAAGGGGAACCCTGGCAGTGGGATCAGGATCCATCCCTGGTGCATAATCAGGCCTTTTGGAGCCCAGTACTTATGGTGGGACACCTTACACAACCTTGGTGCAGGGGGAAGGCTTTGGACCTGCCTCTACAGAATGTGCCAGGCTCTTCTGACTGCCTATTTGAGGGCTTGACTTGGAAGAGGCAGGAATGGGGGGGTGGGTTGAGAGGAAAGGCTGTGGGGTGAGAGGAGGGAGGAGAGGGGGATCTGTGGTTGGTACATAAATTAAATAGAAAATTTCTCAATAATAAAAAAAGAGGAAAAAAGAAATTAAAAATATATTTATATTAAAAAACAACTATACACAATTTTAATATTAATAGTTTTGGAAATTGTATATGCAAGTATATATTTCTGTCCTTCCCTTAGACATGCTTCTTGCCATGATTTGGAAGTCAGTGTCTGTCTCATAAATATCTACATATTAATAGGCACATGGGGCTGGAGAACCAGCTCAGTGATTCAGAGTGCAGGCTGCTCTCACAGAGAAACCTGAGTTCAGCTCCCAGGATACAATTCAGGCAGCTCACAAATATCAGTTATAATGACAAGTTGCATAAACACTGGTAATTTATTTCATCTTTGTAAAACCTGTGGGCATGTTTGAGTATGAGTTATCTTAAACTGAGGAAAAATAAATCATCAGCATGCATATATATAAGGAAAATATGTATATATTTATACACATGATTGTGTGCATGTATGTGAATACTCACAGAAACACACACTCATATATACAGTCATGAATGCTGATTTATTCATTCACTGCAGCATGAATGAACACACCCAATTTGAATTTCAATTTAAATTAATTCTATCTACCAGCATTATCCTTCAATATGTGTATGCTTATATATATATATATATACCTGAACATGTGTGTGTGTGTATATATATATACATATATATATATATATACATATATATATATATGAAACAAAGTCAAAATCAAGAGATTGATTTATTTCTAAATTGAAGATATCAAACAGAACTAAGGAGATGGCTCAGTACTTAATGTACTTGAAATATAAGCATGAGGTCCTGAATTTGATCATGCAGAAGAGAAATATAGAAAAGTGAGGTGTAGAACTGTTTTCCTGTATTCCCAATATGGCATTCATGGAGACAGTGTGTCACTGTCCAGTTGAGTACAGATAAATCAGAAAGCAAGGGATTCAGAGAGAGACCATGTTTAAAATAAAATGGAGAAAACTGAGGAAGGTAACCAGTGCTGACTGGGGCCTCAACGGGCACAGGCAGTGACATGCATGAGAATCCACACACAAGCTTACAACAGGAGCTAAGAAATTAGATTATAAATATAATTTAAAATTTCAAAGAGACATCACAATCAGTTCTCATAAATCTTTGCAGATATTTGTCTATATATTAAATATTGAAATTCAGCCAGACCTGATTGAAGTTGCTTGGCCATTTGATCATAACTTCATTGATGAACAGGCCTTGATCTTGTGGACTCCTGGAGACAAACTCTCCTACTTTAACTAGAAATGAATAATGATTTGTATGTCCCATAAAATTTTGTACATCATACTTTTCCACATGATTCTTGTTCTCATCAAAGCATATTTGGTCTCCAGCAGCATTTGTAAATTGAATTTTTCTCAGAAAAGGATGAAGCTGGAGAGAGACATCAATTGGGTATGAGTAGCATACAAATCTCTCACTTATGGTCCCTAAGAGCAATCCTCTTTCTCTCTCCCTACTCTGGCTTTCTTTTGAAGAGGCTTCATTTGAGCAATTTTTGCCTCCACTTGTTCCAGTGAGATGAAATTAATGTAGAAGTAGCTGAACACAAAGAAAAATGTTGTCTAAGGGGTGGAACATAGTGCAGTGTGGACCATGTTTTAGTGGGAACAAGGCCCTGTGTCTCTCCCCAGCAAGAGAAAAATGTCTCTTATTAGAAAATATAGATGGTTTCAGAGTGAATCTGGAGTAAAATGGAAGCAACACTAGTCTATGGGTTTATTCGTGTTAAGATATTTACCTTCTTTATGCCACACCATGAACCTATGTGTGTATGGTTAGGTAGGTAGATAGATATACACATAGATATAGAGAGTGTCTGAACTTGATAATATTAGCAGGGGTTTATACAAAATTCCAAATTCTTGAAAATATATATTAATATGCAGAAATTTTCTATGCCATTTGTACTTCAGGAAGTTGGAAATAGACCCACGGTCTGCCTCCAATCCTTAATTCAGTTTGGGTCACAACTTTTGTCTTTCAACTTTGATAAGAACAATATTGGAGTCAAAATTAAAACCCAAATGTTCTGTGATTAAGCTAGATTTTTCAGAAGATTTCTTTATATTTTTATATAAATTTATTTTGTGTATGAATTTCCTTCCTGGACATAAGTATGCACTACACATGTTCCTGCTGCCCGTTAAGACCAGAAGAGGGTGCTGGATCCAGTGGGAGTGGAATTGCAGACATTTGTAAGCTGCTATGTAGATACTAGGAACTGAACCTGCATCTTGTCAAGAGCAACAGTTAAATCTGACTTCAGAGCCATCTCTGGTCCATAGATTTGTATTATTTGTAATTCTGTGTATTGCCTATGTGTATGTATGTATATTCACAAACTGTATTCCTGATATCTACAGAGAGCAGAAGAGAGTGTCACATTCCTAAGAACTGGAGTTACAGACAACTATGTGCTGCCATGTTGGTGCTAATAGCCAAACTCTGGTCCTCTGCAGGAGCATCAAGTGGCCCTAACTGCTGAGCCATCCCTCCAGCTTGATTTTATTATGTTTTTAAAAAAATGCAGTGGGTTTATAAGTTATGTTCTGAGATTCATTATTGTGTTAACTAATTAACAACTCGTTTCATAAAGGACCATTTTTTAGATATTCAGTTATCTGTACAAAAGACACACTAACTTACCTAATATCACATCTCTGAAAGCCATGTTCACAAACTGTGTCCATGTCTATGTCAAATATTATTATTATCCATAATACTAAAAACTGCATAGTACACTAAACATTCAGAGTTCATTTTCTATTTATCTACTTTAGACTGAATTAAAATGAAATAAAATTGAAAAGTTTGTTCAGCAAACTTCTTGATGATCACCTATTTGAAGGGGAACATCAAGGCTCATAGGTATAATTGAGTCCTAAGTTTATATCAGGAGGGTTTAAACCCAAACATACCCACTTGTCACTATAAAAAGGTGATATGGCCTAGGCTCATGAGCACCATCTGTATTATAATATTTAATAATGGAGGCATGGTCTTTGGTTTCTCCTTAATTTTATCTCATTTAAGAGTAAATAGTCTATAAAAAGCAATTTCTTTCTCAGTTACTTTTGAGGTTATGGCAGCCTATTTTTATTTTCCATAAAAGTTTCTCCCCATGGTCTTGGGTGGTTAAACATATATTATATTTCATATGAAATAGGTGCTGTTAGATATGGTGACTATGTCTCTATCTGATGGCATCAGACATATTCCATGAAATTGTGTAAATTTTTATTATTGAACTTGCTAATTTTGACAATAATTGATTTTGGATATTTTAACAGAATTTCATCTCATAAAAGGAAAACATTTCTTAAAATATGTACAAATTTCAGGTCTTGAAATCAAAGCTACAGTAGCCCAAATCATGAACCATAATTACAGACACATACACACCCACTGTGAAAGAACTCTTTCCATTTTGCCTTTTATTTTTACTATAAGATGAAAACGTGTTCTACGTTTGACTTCAGTGACTCAACTACTAATAAGTTCCCAGTGCTACCCTTGCTTTTGAGATAGGCTTACCTGCCAGGGTAGAAGCCTGTCGTGGTTTGTGTCTTCATGAAATCCCATTTCTGTTGTCCTCAAAAGCATTTTATGGAGGGTGTGGGCCACTGCATACACTGCATTCCATATGGAAAAGCTAGGCTCAGAAGTGATCATCACATTTATTTCTTGCTTTGTCTTTAGGGATGTATTCAGTGGGCAGGGTTTTTTATTTTCACAAAGCAGAGGAGGAGGTGAGCAATAAAAATTGTCAATCCAGAATTTATAGAAATAAAGATCTCCTGGGTACCGGGAGGGTGTAAGTGCCTCTAGAAAGGGCTTGAAGCCAGGGATATCTCTCTTCTGTGAAAATGAGAAGCTTCCTTCAAAAAAGTCCTTAAAATAATTATTTTCATAGAATACAGACTCTAAGTAAACTAAGTGGGACTTTGCCATGATCCACACCTTCCTTCCGGCTTTCATGATTTCATTTTGTGCACAGAAAAATACTAAGTCATCTATATCACCATAGAATACATGCACATTTGCTTGTGTATTTTGGATCAAATTCACCAACCCAACATCATATGTTAACTGAAACTTCCAATTCGCCTGGAGTTTTTCTGTAAAAGCCACACAGATATCTTCTGATACCATCTCTGCTTTCAGGTCAGAGAGGAACTCCTTTCCTTTCAGATCATCAGACACGATGAG